TTTGTTCTTTATTTGATCAATCTAACACATTTCAATATTATTAAAGCTTTGTCAGATTCAGAGAAAAAGAACTTTCAATTTTGTTTACATTGATTCTCATTGGTCAGTCATATCACATGCATTAAAGCCATAGATAATAAAAATTCTAATGTCTAAGTGGGCATCAAATATATATATATATATATATATATATATATTAAAGAAAACTTCTTTGAAAGACTTATCTTCCAATTTCAAGTTTTGCAGATTTTCCTCTTGCCAGGTTTTGTCAGAACACAAATATTTAACTTTTCTTTATCTATTGGCCTTATTTTTCAATATTTAATGCTTTCTTTTCATAATCTGCTTGCCTTTTAAATGCATTAAACTCAATACATTTTTATTTATAAGCCAATCAAGTATTGGTACAGCCAACAGAAAGCTGCCAAAATTCACTAACAAAAACTGTAAATGTAAGCTAAGAGCAAAAACAAAATGTGGATAACTACCTCAACAGTAATAAGCAGTATTCTATTCTTATATTATTAAGACAGCAAAATGCATCACACCTCAAGAGACAATTATCAGATTACTAAAGTTTCATGTTCCTGTGATTGTCATGTGAGAACACTGGATTATCATGGGATTGTCAAACTTAAGTACTGATCTAAACTTTTTTAAATATATATATAACTTCAGTTAAAGGCCAATGAAAGTTCCTTATGAATGTGTTTTTTGTTTTCTATCTATATTTCAGACAATTTTCTTTGTGTCCAGTGAAAGTTTAAATTATCCATTGTCCAAATACTTTTGACTTTCACAAGCTATTAAGCATAAAAAACGTTATATTGAGTTGTTTATCATATTTACGAACAAACAAAATATTTCATGACAATGTCAACTGACATGTGATACTTTAACAAACCACCATGGACAATTTATATTTAAACTTTCACCAGGAAAATGGTTTCAAATATGGGGGGAAAAAAATACATAATCTTTTAAAGAACATTCATTGGTCAAACTAGTATAAATGAAAAATTAACGTGTATATACATGAGCATATAGAAGTGGAGAAAAAAACTTTTTTTTTTATGCATAGATAGTATATAACAAATACCTGTCTACATTTAAATTATTTTTGCACAAATTTTTATTTGTTGATAAGCTCTTTGTCTCTTAAATTAAAATGTCATAAAAACAAGGTAGGATCTGGGTTTATTTCTCTGTAAGACTAATTTTCATTTCACAATCACATAAAATATTTCCGCTTCTGGCTTCATAATTCTCAAAATTAAATTTTTTTTTTTTTTTTTTATTTATTTAAATATCTAATTTCTTTTAAATTTCCCGAGATCAACTACGGAATAAGTTTGAAAAATTTCCAGTTCAAATATCATCAGTCCCCTAAAATTCATCACAATTTACTTATAATGCATTGAATTTTAAAGGGAATAACTAGATTATCGCCCTTGTAATATCTAATTCGTATCTTCTCTGTAAATATTTAATCTTAACAGTATGTATATATATATATATATATATATATATATATATATATATATATATATATATATATATATACACACACACACACACAAACCATAACATGGGCACACAGATGTACAGTAATGGTTAGCAAGCTTTACTAGATCAATTATTACTGAGTCGTGACTTCGATTATCACTTAGTACCCCATACCCTCAGCCTTGTACACCATGTGCATGTTAGGCAAAGTTATATGCAATGATTTCAACAAAAATAAAACCTATTTAAAATTTTTAATCAATATATTTTCCCAATTATTTTAATGAATTGCAGCTGCAATTAAACAGCATTATTACACACTGATTGATTCAAACTGTTATCCTCATTATAGTTGTTAAATAAAAAATAAAAAAATCTTCCAGCTTAGATGGTAATATTCTTGAAATTTAACTGAACATTCTATTAAATCAATGAGTGTAGACTCTTCTCATTCTGCTGCCCTCATGCTAAGAGATCAATCATACTGGTTAATCATTTGCAGTTTGGGTAACATTTTTCCATTAGTGTTTCCATTTTCAATAGGCCTAGTTGAACTCTTTTGCAATCATTATCTTTAATTTTGTTTTAATTGGATGCTTTATTTAATATTTTGGATTCCACAATTTTGTAATTATATTTTATTCATTTTATTTTCATTTTTACAGATATATACGACATATTTTAATTTTTGCAGCAACAAACAAATTTGATAGTCTGAAATTTGTGAGTTTTATCAATTTCTGTTCAAAACATTTTTTATTGTTCTTTTTTTCAAAAGCATTTTTGATTTTATATTATTTGCTTTGTTTTTAAGAGGTGAATCCAAATTTTCAAAATTTCTGGGTAATACAAGCCTTACCATTTTACTGTATTAGCATTTATATTTGTCTTTTGCATTCATTTGTCAAATGTTACTTTCACATATAAAACATTTACTATTTCTTTGTTATCTATTTTTGCCATTGTATATTTTATTTTCGTTTTGACATTTGGCTTCCTATAGTTTCATTTTTTCTAAAAGGTAAATCACATTTTTTTTTGTTTTCTTAATTACAAACTTTGGCTTTTATTTTTAATAGAACATTTACTCTAATCCTGAAACATTGACTTTTCTATGTTTTCCATAATCTGTTTTTTTATTTTTTATCTATTTTCTTCTATGTATTATATCACTTCATTAATATTAAAAATACAAAAAGCTCTCTTTAGTTCTTTTTGTCTTTAATCATAACTGTTCAGTCCAATTTTCTGGCATATAAGAATTTAGACGTAAAAATTTTTCTAAATCAACGATCTAATGCTCTGAATATTTTTGGAAAATTCAAGAAGGATAGAATGTTTAATTTTGTGTATAAAATCATCTTGGACATCATCTCTATTTATAGTTTTTCTTTTTTCTTTGTTTTATTGAATCAATTTATCAAATTCACAGATATTTCTACTTGGTTTTTAGAGTTCAATTTCTTCAGTTGTTTTTGGTGGCATCACTAAAATTTCGATTTCAGATAGGTGACATCACATCCTTTTTATATTTTTTTATGTCTAAAAAAAAAAAAAATACACCACTCTCTAGGATAAAAGTTTTATTTCGTAACAATGTTGCTATAGATATAAGAAAAGACAACATGATTTTGACAATATATGGATTAGATTTTTATATTATCATTTGACTTTGGCTACATATTTGTTCAAGGTACGTAAATGTCATCTTTAATTTTAAGACTAATTTAAATCCCAATATTGAAAATGCAAAGACATTCTAAATTTTGATTCTTTTTTTAAAATTAATTCATTTGCACTTTTTTTTTTTTCTCTTCAAAATCACTTGAATTTAAAATTTACTCACACGAATGATATCTTAGCCCAACTGGGATCATATCTGCCTAAATTATCTTAGATCTCCATGCATTTGCCTCAGTATTCGATTTGAATTCAAAATTAAATTATCTGAATTTAATTCTTTCTTGAATCTTCAATATCACTTGTTAGTATTCCTGTGACGGTCTTTGGATTCTATTTTCCATCCAAATTGATTATAGACTCTATTTTCATGAAAATGCCCAGTTAACCCTTAAAAAAAAAAATCTTCAAAATTTTTCGCTATTTGCGTTATCTTTTTAAAAAAACAACAATCGGTAACTTTAAGAAAAAAGATCCAAATAATCCTTAAGATTTGGGGTATTTTAGCATTCTATTAATTTTAAAAAAATTGGTGATTAAAAATGTTTCATTATTCGGACCAGCATACTTATTCATTGACAAACACTAGAAGAATGGCATTGCAAGAATCATGTACACGTGGACTGTTAAACGTCCTTGTTATCAAAGAGTAGAGGTTGACATCATCTAGAAGTTTCTGATTAAATCAACCAGAAACTCAAATATTCTATCATACAATGAACAGTCACAACCACTGATCAAGTCAGATCACCACAAAGTTAAATCATTAAGGCCATGAAAGAAAGGAAGGAAGGAAGGTCCTAAGCAGGAAAAACATGAAAGTACTAGCCAGGTGATCTTAAACACTAACATATATTTTACTTTATTACTTTTTGAAATTCAACTTTCCTTAAAAAAAAAAAACTAACCTCTACATGAAGCATATTTTAAATTGTACAGTTGTTCAAAGACAATGTTGCAAAAGCTCATGTAATAATTAAACACAAGCATATAGTACAAAGCCTCAAGACAGTCTGACTCAATAGGTTGGGTACTAATGATTTATTAGTTGCACCTGCATTTCCACTGAATGATACAATCTTTCGTTGAATAGTTATTTATGGAGGAGGTCAACTTTTATACAAATATATACAGTGTATTTGTGGATATATTTCCTGTAATATTGAAGGATATCAACATCAATGTTTTTCCTATTGACATGTGTTGGCCAATCATGGAATAATAGGGATTCTCTAGAGGTTAAACATCATTGCTGAAGGACAAAATGAAGACAAGGTGCAAATTTCCAAAAAGGGGACATTGTTATTAATGTCATTTGGCACTTAACAGGTTAAGTAATGTAAATATTAATTAATGCTTTTTGGTGCTGAGAATGTTAATACTCAGATTTTTTTTTTAGGAACTAAAAAAAAAAAAAATAACCATTTTGTAAATATTTTACCAATTACAAAAATAACTAAATAGTTGGAGTGTAAGTTGGAGATGAATTAAAATGCCTGAATTGACAATATCAGAATTTTGCGAGGAACAATTATTTTGTTACTTGTGAGCTTTTGAATATGCAAAAAAAAAAATTTTTGAAGAAAATCTGTCTTGTTTCTTGACACAGGATTTCTGTTTGGCACTACTGACATTTCCATACAAATATACTGAAAAATAGATTTTTCAAAACCATTATACATTTATCTGTTTAAGAAAAATGCAAGTAAAATAAAATATATACATTGCTGCAAAAATGCAGCTCTCCAAGAAATAACTTTTTTTTTTCTTTTTTTCAAAATATTTCTTCCAATTAAGCTCTCCACTAATATCAATATTTTTTTTTAATTTTCTAAATTTTAAGATGAACATTCACTTTGATGTAAATTCATTGGAAATTAATTCCACCTACAGAGTCCAAAGTGGGTGGGGTTTCAGAAGACTTTGGTGAGGAAAAAGACATTAGAGGAACAGGAATCGAGACAAGACAGTGATTGATGTCTCATTTAAATTTATGAAGCAAGAAATAGGGAGTTCTACAGATGGGAAGTGTGTGTGTGGCGGGGAATTAGAATCGAACTGACAGTTGCATCTAGCTAGTTCAACAGTAAAATGGTGAGATCTGGTAGCCACTCGAGCAGCAAACAGATGTAATAAGGAAAACAGCTTATCAGAACAATTGCTATGTAAATATTTTTAGAAAAGACAAGCCACGTTATGTTGGTGAAAATGTGATTGAAGTTGAGATTATTTACTTTCCATTTCCCTTTTTTTATATTTACTTTTTTTTTTTATATTTACTTTTTTTTATATTTTTTTTTTATATTTACTTTTTCCCCTTTTTTTTATATATATTTACTTTTCCCTTTTTTTTTTTATATATATTTACTTTTTCCCTTTTTTATTTACTTTCCTTTTCTCTTATTTTTTATACTTTTTATTTGCTTGCATTGCAAGATAAGTTTACAATAAATTTACTTGGTAAACTGAACTGAAGCTCTTTAAACTGAGAAAATCTTTGAAACCTCATTTTCTAGTATTCATGATCTGGAGAACCTAATAGTAATTTGAAGAAAAAAATTGTAAAAAAAAAAAAATGTTCACATCTTGGAGAGGTGCACTTCTGTAGAAAAAAGCCTTAAATACAAACAGACTGAAATAGAAAATACATTCTTATAAGTATGAAAGAGTATAAACACATGCAGGAAAGAAAAGTAGAAAATTAAAAGCATCAGACACTAAGGAGGAAAGGGAGGCAAAAAAAGAAGAAGAAATGGTGACATTTTCTGTTCCTTTATAAGGAAACATTTTGCATCCATTGACCAAACAATTAACATTACTCTCTTAAAACAGTTTTTCAGCAAAATAGATTTCTCGAGTCCACTGTTATCACTTTAGGATTGATACGAGTTTCCTTCCAAATATTTTTTTTGAAAAGTTAAAAAGAGAAACCTCAAACATTTTTGGTTATAATGTGGATTTGTTTTAGTGTATATAGATTTTATTCATATTTTTACTACACGTTTCCAGTCTCATGACCGTCTTCAGGCAAATTAAAGGTATCAATTTTTAAAAGAATAAAATATCCTTATGTTCTTTTAATATTTAATTGTTCATTTTCTGTATTTGTAGTAATCATTGATCTCATTTTTTCGACATTTGAATGGCAAAATGAAAATTAAAAGTATAGGCTGATCTAAAATCCTGAAACATATATTAACCCCCATCCAAATTTAACAAAATTGCAAGAAAAAAAAGATGTGGGGTTTGTGATGTCATCATAGACGGTTAACTCCTACACCTCTGAAAACACAACAACATTCACAAATAAAAATTTAAACTGCAATTCCAAAAATGTGATCTATGTACAAAATGCAAGAAGTCATATATAGGTATCAGCCAAGCACATAACCACAGAGTTACCCTTCACAAAAGCAACATCAAATTACCCAACAACAAAACTCTTTGTATTGCAATACATCTACAAATGCAATCAAGGGAAATTTAAAATTATGCCAATATACCAAACAGACAACTACTCCTTCTTACAAATTCAACAAAACAAACTTCATAGACAAATTTAAACCAGCACTAAACAGAACATAACCCCACACACATGGCATGCACACATGACGGCCAGATACCTGTTTGTGCATGTGTACAATCCAACTAGTGTATCCATGAAGAACAAATTATATACATACATATGTGTGTGTGTATGCTGATTCATGTGCAAGCTAGCGGGGACATGCACACTCACGCAATACACAAAAATGGAAATAGATTTGACAGTCTCAGTGGGGATAGGAGGCATCTATCATCAACACATCTGTCATTGCCACCACTAAGACCAAACCTAATAATTTTACTACTACTTAGGCAGAAAGTCACTTTCACCAACAGTCTAATAAATGAGATCAAGGCTCACTACAAATGCAGGAAATGAACAATAAAATATTAATAAAACATAAGGAAATTATATTCCTTTAATAATTGATTCCTTTAATTTGCCTGAAGAAGGTTACAAGACCAGAAACCCGTTTAGCAGAAATATGAAGAATAAAATATATACACTAAAACAAATCCAGATTATAACCAAAATGTTTGCAGTTTCTCTCATTGGAACAATTATAACCATCTATCAAACATGTATACATACATACACACTAAACAGTATAACTTTTTAAAATCATTTCACTCCAAGCAAGGTGGCAGTGGCACTAGAGTGCAGAGGGTCACAGGAAGTAAATAAGATTGAAAATGGGAAGGATTGAGGAAAAGGGCAAAAAAAGGAACAGCTTCAAGAAGGCAGAAGATGGCAATTCACATTCCATTTAAATTCTTGAAGAATGTAGTTATCAGGAAGCAAGAAATCATATGGCTGGGAAGTGAAAGGCGGGAGGGGGGGGAATACCATTACAGTAGAAATGACAGTTGCATGCCCACAATAAGGGGGAGTGTCAAAAGGATTTTTTTTTTACCTTGACACTATTATTTTAACTACCTTCATTCTTTGGCAATATTTAATGTTTTTTAAAAAAGTGATGATTAGAGTTGTAATAAAACCTAAACATAGGAAATGTATAAATTCATTTTCCTTTTGTTCTTCAGAACTGACAGCAAAAAAATAAACACTATTTATTTGATTGTTTATTGGAATGGTTGGCAAAACATTGGCTAATTGCCAATTAATAAATGGTAAATAAGGATTTCCTTATACTTGGTACATGCATTTTAATAATTAAATAAATGTTTATAAATTTACAAATAAAAAATTTTCATATTTCTTTATAAACTGGTAAATGATAAATATTGCATTAGTTCTTAGAATCTAATAGTGTATAATACTTTTTTGCTATAAATTCTCAAGAATCAAATGTATAAACTCATTTTCATCATACGTTTAGTTTTTATTACAATTCTAATCACCACTTTTTAAAACAAAACAGGAAGAATGAAGGTAGTTAATATAATAGTTAAGGAAAAAAACTCATTTTGACACTTTTTGAAGGCATGAAGCTTCAAGATTGGTGGACTTTCCTTCCTAACCTTTTGTTTATGGCAGTCTGCCAAGATCAGATGAAGGATAGCCTTTAAGATTTATAGGATTCATTCACTTGAAATGATTTTTAATCATTATTCTGAGACAACATTTTTATATAGCTGATAGTTTAGACATTTCTGAACAAGTTGGATGCCATGTATGACATCCCCATGAGAGTCTAAATTTGACAATGCTATTTAAGAATATTGCTAGAGTTCTTACTATAAAAAAAAATATGTTAAGGTATTAATTGAAGCATTTAGAATTTATTAAGATCCACATTAATTGAAAAAAAGCAAAAAAAAAAACGTTGCAAAAATAAATGAAGAGAATAAGAAAATATATACTATAAATTGGAACTCTGATCTTATACATTGCAACATGATTACAGGAGCTGGTATTCCCAATGTCACCTATTTAGGTAGATACCAGGCTGGATGTTTAACTTTGGTGACCATACAGGAACCAATGTTTCAACATGATGTGGCTGTAAGCCTGCCAATTTTGACAAATTCTTTTGAAGAATGCATGCTAATATAACAGCTCACTTGGTTTTACTTGTGTTCACCTTATACAAGAGCCATTCCAAGTAGAGGGTTAGGGTTACTGAAGATAGTGTGAACAATAAGATTACTAAGAAGCACATGTGGTTAACCCTTAACTTAAAGAGGTTAAGATTGTAGTGGTTGTGAAAGCATCTTCTTGGGACTCGGTTCCACAAAGTAGCAGTTCCTGGGAAGAAGCTGTTTGAGAGGAACTTACTAATAAAATACAAAGGGAATGAGGGTGGTTCACCTTAGTGTATGTGGTGTAGAGGGTTTTATTTGTGAGGGTTAATGTTGGTGGAACAAAGGAACAATTTTTCTGGAAATAGTGATCAACTAGCAAGAATAATAAAAAACTGTCTTTTAGAGTAATGGGATGTTATATAATATCGGTCATTTTATATGGCAGCGAATGCTCAACAATCTCTTCAGATTAAGAAGAGACTTAAAGCAACAAATATGGTCCTACAGAAGGATGCTGAGAATATCAAGGAGTGTAAATGTAAGCAACAACAGTTTTAGAGAAAATAAAAACAAAGAACATGTGCTTTATTTCAGAAAGAGACAATTGAAATGAGGAAACAGAGCATGGAGAATTTGACACTCACAGGACAGATTGAAGGTAAGAGGAACAGTAGTATGTAATTTACCTAATGAGCACGTGTACATGGCTAGTAGAACAGGGATTATGAGAGGTAGCAAAAACAAACTCTAACAAAGGACAGGAGGTTGGGGAAAGCCATGATGTCTCACATTCTGAAGAGACAACATATATAAGATTGATTGATTGATTGATATTTTTTTTTTTATGGCTTAATATTTTACAAGTTATTTCAAGCCAGAAAATGTTCACATTGTAAGAATTTTTTGAGTTACTGATTACTAATTAACCTGTAGGGTGGAGGAGAAAAGGTGGATTCATACCTTTCCAAAGTGAATAATAAACCCAAATGGAATTGAAACCTGACTCTCTGGTTTCCAATTCCAAGCTGTTATCCATTACACCACCTGCACATCCAAGCTTACAGTACCTGGTATTCCCAAGTGGTCACCCATCTAGCTACTGACAATTTTAATGTTGCTTAACTTTGGTGATCATATGGAAACTGGTGCTCAACATATGATATGACCATAAGCCCATAGAAGAAAACTAAATGCTCCTAATCTCATGTAATGATAAAACATGAACAAGTTTCTCAGCAAACATAATAAAAGGTATCTTTGTTACACTTGAGCAATTCTATGAATAGACTTAATGTAGAAGTTTGGAATTCAACTTCTTGGCTTCAAGATGTTTTTTCTTATCACTATAAACATTCATACTAAGTACCCAGACTTGATTAAATGTTATTTTTATGCAGTGAAATTAAAGTCAACCAGCCTCAAGATCAAGATGTGCAACAAAAGAAAAATGTATCTACCAATACAAATCAAACCTGTATTGCCTTTTTCCATCAATGAAAGCACTTTAATTGAAATGTGCCTCACTATATTAGGCTAGGGGAAACACTCATGATCACAAAGGAATGTAGCTCGTCTGAGTATTTTCCATGGAAATACTGATAGAGTAGTGAACATAACAATCAAAATATCTTAATCTCCTGACATTAAAAGCCTTGAGGCAACAGAAATGTGGTTCTACAGAAGGATGCTGAGAATAGCATAGACTGAACATGTGAGCAATGGTTTGGTTTGTTTTACAGTATATCAACCTCCATGATTTATTTAATGCCGACAAAAATTTTTATTGCTGGTAATTTTTTTTTTTTAAAACAAAGTATTTCTGGTATTAAAACCTATTTTTTCACTTTCATGGTGTTTTGACCCCAGTTTGAGGGTTAACTATTTGTCCATAGCTGGGAACCCTAACATGTGCTACCACCCCAGATCAGGGTGGACCTGGGAACACCAGCAAATAAGAGGTGGTTCCATGCTCCTCAAAACCTCCTGATCAGAGGCCCTTGTTTATCATCATACCCAGGACAGTGTGAGCAATTGAAACAAAAAGGACACTTATACTTAACATAATAAAGAGACAGATGAAATTTCTATGATATATAATAAGGAATGAGGGCTTGGAAAATTTGATACTCACAGAGCCTGATTAAAGGTAAGAGGGAGAGAGGAAAACTTTGCATAACTTGCCTAAATGAATAGCAGAGCAAAGATTAGGAGAGACAACAAAAAACAAAATTATTTAGAGCTACAAGGGATAAAAAAATTGTTGAGAGCCATGATTGCTTATGTCCTGAAGGGACACTGCACAGAATAATTGTTCAGTTTTCATCAGGGGTAATTAGACAAAGAAGCAATTCACCTATCCAAACAGTGTTGGATATGTTAATATTTCTTTACAGTTATAGTGTTATAAACAGTTTTAAAGATATATACATATTTTCTTAAATGTGTGTTACTGTTCACATGTTCACTTTTGCAGCAATAAGTTTTAAGCAAAATGGCAACAAAAAGGATATTTATATTTAGAAAAATATAGTTGAAGTTTCTGGAACACTTAATGAGTAAAGAGTGCTTAGAAAACTTGATGCACACAGGACATATTACTGGTGTTCCCAGGTCCACCCTGACTCAGGGTGATAGCACCTGTTAGGGTCCCATCCAAATAGTTAATCCCCAAACTGGGGTCAAAACACTATGAAAGTGTAAAAGTAGGTTTTAATACCATCAATACATTTTTGTAAAAAATTATTACCAGCAATAAAAATCTTTTCAGCATTAAATAACCCATCCAGGTTTATAAGCCGTAAACCAAACCAAACCATTAATTACTTAAAAATAATCTACCACAATTTAAGTTATTTACTTTCTTTGCTCAAAATATTCTTACCTGCAATCATCACCTCCAGTGCTGATTAGGTATTTTTCATTTGGTGTGAATCGGACATTGGTCACATGGGCTGAGTGGCCAACAAAGATTTTGAAAGGGGCCTGTAATAATAAAATTATAAAGAAATTAATTGTAAATTATTGTAATACTAGGTGTTTGTTATCAATGATATCATGGGTAGGATTTAAGAAACAAAACAAGCTTTCATTCATTATTAGGTTCCTGTCTAGATTGTCACAGCAAATGTTAAAATAGAAAGTCAATTTCCATAATTCATTGTGCATGTGAAATGATAAAGCAGAATTAGTATTAATAAATTATAATTTTTTACTTATTTACATTCTGTTGAAAACGTTTGCAAAATCATAACTTTTTGGAGTATTTTGGTCCTCCTCACAGAAGAATTGTTAATAGCCCATTGCTGACTTTTTGTTTTCATACAAGATGAATATTATATGAATGAAAATCACTACAGTAACATTTGCAATTAAATGTGGAATTTAATCATTTTTTTTTTTTGTCGTCTTTTTTGTCTTTTTTTTTTTTGTCTTTTTTTTTTTTTGTCTTTTTTTTTTTTTGTCTTTTTTTTGTCTTTTTCTTTTTTTGTTTTGTCTATTTTTTGTCTCTTTCTTTTTTTGTCTTATTCTTTTTCTTTCTTTTTTTGTCTTTTTTTTTTTATTAAAGATTTGAATCTGTAAGCTTTACAATATATCCATTAAGTGCTAAAGTAAAAAGGCTTGTTGATGGTCAGGAATTAATGCAAATGTCATTGATATAGTAGGGATGATTTTGTGAGATGAGTATTTTTCTTTTTCCCAGCTCCTGCTTATACATTTTTGAAAATATACAAAACTAGTTAAATAGCCACACAGTGTAAAAAGAAAAAAAAGGCAGCAATTCAAATATTGATTTGTTCAAATTTGGTAATATTAGGTTATTCCAAAAGTTCGTAAATACTTGCGAAAAATTGAATTTTTATGCAATTTTTAATAGTTTTTTTACTTTATTGTTAATTTTGATAATTTCATGGGTCTATCTGGTCCAGCACATTCGAGACAAGCGATGGGTTCAGAAAGGGCAAGAGACACCATCGGTTCCAAAACAAGATAGATTCGGCAAGAAACTCATGTTGTGCGTTTGGTGGAACTTTGAAGGAATTGTGCATTTTGAGTTGGTTCCAAATGGTGCGTGCCATCAGTGCCGAACTTTACTGTCAGCAACTAGAGTGGGTCTACGAAAAGTTAAGCAAAACCACCGGCTCTGATCAACTTAAAAGCTGCCTTTGATGCAGCAGGACCAATGCCAAGCCTCACACCAGGAAGACCAAAGACAAGTTTGAAGAGCTGGACAGCGTTGAGGTTCTGCCACATCCAGCCTACAGTCCTGACTGTGTTCCATCAGATTACGGCCTTTTCCGCTCAATGCAACACTTTCTGAAGGGCCGGCGATTCAACTCGTTTGATGAAGTCAAGGAAGCGTGTCAAGAATTCTTTGATTCGAAGCCGGCTGAATGGTATTTTCACCTGATCCGAAAGCTTGCAGATCGATGGCAGAAAGTCTTGGAAAATGATGGTCTTTATTTTGAGGAATAATTTTTGTTGTTTTTGTTGTTACTTGGCGAGTAAAATTTCAATTTTTTGCAAGTGTTTACGAACTTTTGGGACAACCTAATACAAATAACAAAAAAAAAATGACAGTAAATAAGTAATTTTGCTTTCAGTTACCATTTAAGTTTAGTCAATCAACATGACCTTAAGAATCCCTAACAATTGTGTACAAGCATAAAGGTATTATAAAAGTACTCTTCCTTTCATGTTAAATCTTAATTCCTCTTTTTAAAAATTCAAACAAAAATTAATGTTATTTAGAATCAGACAAATGCCTTCATCTTTGTCATTATCCCAATGTTTCAGCTGTTGTGCTATACTGGCTTTCAACTGTCTGTCTATCCAAGTAAACTTCAGGGAATTTGGAACAGAACACTTTATTCAGTCTAAGGGAGTAAATTGTTTTCATTCTACTCTCCAGGTTATCTCCTCTTGTTTTTATTTAGTATTGCTCAGTTATGAGAGTTCTACTTGAGGTCTGGGGTGAGCTTAATTCAACAGGAATTCAAAGCAAGAGACCTGAAACAATGTTTACATATTTTTCTAGCCATAGGTACAGGAACAATTTGACACAGGCAACCATAATTACTTGTTATGTTATGCATTAATTTTTTTTTCCCCTCCAGTTCTCTACATATTGTACACGAGGGAAGAGAATTGTCTCTGGGGGTAAAACTGGAATAAATCAAACTCTGGGATGGAAGTTTTAAACCCATCACCACAATTAACATGACAACAATTCAAAATAGATACAAAAAGTGAATCTAAAACTTTTAGATTTAAATGGGCTTTTTGCCAGATTTTATGGCTATTATGAAATTAGATTATCTGCCAGTGTTTTCACATGCACTTGGGGCATAAATGTGGCCCCTTGTATTCAACAGTAAATAATCCAACAAGGGTTTGCATGTTGCTAGTATAAACAACCTATTCTAATAATTGTAACTTAAGTTCAGGTTCACTATGTCTGCTACAGTCTCACAAAACAGTCAAATGGCAGAAGTGGAGAACAAGACTTGCTTTATTCTTGTCCAAAGAGTTTGTCTTTGTTTGACATGTAGGACTTCAATTTCAGAGAAGGCAGGTGTGTCCTTCCATCAAAATAGACCCTTCTTTATCTTTCAAGAAATTGGATCATTAGCAACTTTACATAATATTAGTGTAGTTGGATGGAATCAAGGAGGGATATCTGGGTGTGTTAGTGCTCCATTCTGAAGTGCCCATATGTCTAGTTTGTTTATCATCTGGGCAAGTGATTGGTGACTCACGATTATAAATAGACCATCATGGAGATGAGAGGGGTCTTCCATCAGAGTACATCATGTGATGCATGCAGTTGTGGTAGGAGGAAAGAACAAATAGACAACGAAGCAGAGACAGGGAAGAGAACAATGATAAATGTTAAGAAACCTGTGTAGAGGGAAGAAACGCCCAATTTGAAATTTCATCCCAAAAAAGAGTCACTAATTTTTTTTTTTTTTTGACCAAAGAGATTAAATTTTGCTCTATTTATTGATGGGTTTGTTTTTCTCCTAATATGGAATTGCTATTTTACAGAACTCCAAAAATGATGACAAAGAATTACTACATATCCACTCCTTACGTGTTCTTGAAGCCTTACCTTGAAGCTTACCAAGAACACCAGAAAGCTGTAACATAAGGGGAAGTGGAAAAATCAGGCATGGCTGACCACATATTAAGAGAGAAGGGAGATCACTGCCCTCTGTGGGATCAGGTTGAGATCATAGATAAGGAACACCATTGGAAAATTCATAAACTTACGCTAGGCCACAAAAATCTCCTGAGCCGACCAAGCATAGAAATGAATACAATATGGAAACCAGTAATAAGGAGTGCCAGAGAAAAGCGATAACAACAACCAAAGTTGCAATATGAGCTCTGGTAAAAACAAAATGATAACAGCAAAAATTGCAATATGAACACTGGTAAAAATGGTTGCTGAGACATTAGGTTTATAATACCCAGAAATTCATACACAGATGTCCTCAAGGACACATGGCACAGTGGATAAAGGTGTTGGTTAGGTAAGACCCAAAGAGTGTGAGTTCAATACCCGGTTAGGCAGTGGAGAACTTTCTGAGGGAAATTAACAGGAGATAACTGATATCCATTAAACATGGCACATGGAACTAAAACAATCTATCCCAGTGAGCAAAATAAAGGGTTCAGTTCGACATTCCAATGGCCAAAACGTTGTAATAAATATGGCGACAAAGATGAGGACAATAGTCCGAATAATCTATGTACATAATACCTCATCTGAGAAATATAGACGGACACAAATATCTATATTGTTGAAAAAGGAATTTTCAACAATATACACATTTTGTACATATATTTATGGTTATTTTTTTAACTTTATCAAAAACAACATTCTTGTACATATAGTTATGGATAATATTATATACATTCATTACTATTTTTTTTAATTAATTATTTGTGCTCAGTTGTTGACATTAATAGCTATCTGTTGATGTGTTAAATGCAATAATAAAAATTTAAATTTCAGCTCCGATAGATGTTATGATCTGTAAAGTGAAGAATACTTATTAGATTTTCAGATTATGAAACCCGTCATTTCAGATTTGTCCTTGTCACACATTCATTAACTTGAATAAAGAAATAAAATACTTACATATTTCTCTGGGCACGGAAATTGGAATAGTTTGACATAGCCAAAATCATCACCAGTTGCTAGTGACTTGCTCTGTGGAGACAGATGACAGCAGTTGACATCTGCTTTGTCAGCATTCTCTGGCCAGATTCCAAGGACTTCTTTGCTTAAAACACTGATAGGGGGAAAAAAAGCATTGGTACAAATATCAACAAAAACTGAATTGCAACACAGCAACATCAATAATAAGAGTGAAAGTATTTAGATAAGTATGCCTTTAGAGTAAAGTCTAAAAAAAAATTCTATCTGAATTTCTGAGTTGGGATGTTATTTACATTCACACTAACATCCTCATCTTTACCATTATCTTATTTTTATTGTACCCACTAACCCTTTTCTGTTATCTTTGGATCTAAGGATATCTGTAGACATGTACAGCAGAATGAGAACAATCTACCTCTGTACATTAAATAAAGGGTTTAGATTAAAATTCTTAGAGTTACCCAATGAGACACCTGATGAAGTTCAGTGGGCACAATGGCCGAAATGTTGTGATAACACCAAAAAAAGACATTAATTTCTGTCTGAATTTCTGAGATGAGGAGTTGTTATTATTTATACTATTTATATTCAGACTATGGTCCTCATCTTTATCACATTTCAGCCATTGCGCCCTCCAGCCTTCATCAGGTTTATATCTGGGTAACCTACAGGGATTTCTGAACTGAGCCCTTTATTCAATTTAAAGAAGTAGACTGCTGTCATTCCATTGCTCATGTCTAGGGATATTTCATATAGTTCATATTTTTTTAGATTTCAGCTTATGGAACAATAGCCTATCAGATTAAGGTGATAGTTTGTGAATTTTGGTGACATAGTAATTGTGAGTTCAATCCTTGGGTCGGTCAGTGTCTACTTGAACTCTGTGGAATATTGTAAGCAAAAAAAATAAATAAAAAAAGAATTACTAGTAAAATTACAAGTAAAATTATCATACACTCACTTAGTAGAAACCTTTTGTATCAACCTATCATCTTTTTGTAAAATATTTGGAAAATCTTAGTGTGTACTGGGACTAAATGTTCCAAATCACAATGATGTAGAGACATCAAATTGTTTGTGAAATTGAATTTGATACAATACTTAATACTGGAAGAAGATGAGACTAAATAAATAGAAGTTTTCTCCTGTTTTATTATAAGTGCTGTCACTTGATTGGCACATATCTTCCATATTTCTAATTCAATGAACCTATGAAAAGAACAGAATAAAACCAATGTTATAGTTAAGTCATTTAATATCATCTCATTACATCTTCTCAGTTTCACGTTTTCCACCCTCATGAAGTGGAATGATTGTATTGAATCAATTACTAAGTTTGCTGCTCAGAAAGTTGATTCATTCTTTCATGCCAGACAATTTTTTTAAATATTTACAATATACCATTCAACCATGCTGCCACATCTGGTCTGGCGCTCCTGCTATATTAATATTTATTTCTGATAAAACCCCACAGATTTTGACTTTCAAAGAGCTGAGATGTGACTGTCTCAAAGATGTGGCTACATAGCTTTTTTTCCTTCTCCCCAGTGCATGCTGAAAGAAACCGGTCAGTGATTTCAAACAAATTATCTCCAACAACAAAAATGTTCAGTGAATCTTTGCTAACAATGTCTTTTTTCAACTGCAGTTTTTGTTCTGTGAGCCAACTATTTCAGTCTTTTCTAAACTACAGATTTTCCTGTATACCAACTACCCAAAAACTATTTTTACTCATTTGAATTCATGTAAATACATTTGTAAATACAAATAATTTATTTAACAGGTATACCGATGTTTTCACTATTTTTATTTTGTTTGTAATTCAAACATTTGGATTTTTAATATAAAAAAAAAATATTGACTGAATTTCTTACACCTATGCTTTGTGTAGGTGATTCTTTTTTTTTCTTTTTTTGCCTCACCCATATCATTCAAGAGGAAATTGAGGTTGGAAAAGATATGTACTGTTGTTCTAATGACTATCTTCATCTTTGTTATCACATTTCAGCTACTATGCTCTCTGATCTTGAAGTGCTTGCCAATTCAGATAACCTTAAGGGAATTTCAAATTGAAATCATTATTCAATCTTCTCATTCTGCTGTCCATGTCTAGGGATTTCTTGTCTAGTTCTTATTTAGGACTACAAAGTTATTGCTTGTCTCGTTTCAATTTAAATTTGTCATATAGGAATAAAGCGTTGTTGCCGACACTTCCATTTTAACACGGATTGCCAGAGAACAAGCACAGTTGACCTCATCTTGAATAATTAGATCATGTGACAGGTAAAGGAAAGAGATGGGAATTAGCGGCGTCTGACCGAGTATTGTTTGAAGGTGTTACTATTAATGTATCTGGTTTACAAAGTCTCTCCTATAAACAGGCATTACAAAAAAATTTAAATTTCTGGTACCCAGTGTGTTTAGATATTCAACTTAGTGGACTTCATTCAGTTTCTTATTGTGTTTGCTGTTTTTTTTTATTTGGAATGTGAAATTGGATGACCATGTTCAAATTTCAGTCAGCTTTCTTACATTCACTTAAGGCATTTCGATGTACAGCTTACTTCATTCAGTTTCTTACTGTTTTTGTCTTTTCTGTTTGTTGCTTTTAATTATCCCACATTATAATAGGCATATATCCTTGTCTATCACCACCCATAAACAAAATGGTATAATATTACACAAATGAAATACTTGCATAAATTTATTTCAATAAAACTACTCAAATTCAATTATAACTTTTTCATTTAACAACTAAAGAGGATTTTTTTTTGTGTTGTTAGAGCAGTTTCTTAAACCTTTTTCATTCATGACCTCATTTTTTATCATGAGTTTTTTCTCGACCACAGGTATTAATCGACTACACTGAAAATGCATAAGTTGTTACTGCACTAGTCGCAACAGTGCCACACAGCCGTTTTATTACTGCAGCACTTACATGGCGCATCATGTTAAATATTGTGCACTTGTAGAATAACACAAACTTAAATTCAAGTGTTTGAATTCAATTTTCATGAAACCCCAGCATTTTCCTTCACGACTATTTGGGTTTATGACCCATAGTTTAAGTACCGTGTTAGAGTATACTTTTATTTCTGATCTGTGCTCTTTACTAATCACTAAAAAATGAAAATGAGATAAAAGAAATATAAAAATTGAAAAATAATTGGCAAAAAAGATTAAAGAATACTACTATTACGACTAATATATGTAAACAAACATGGTGGTGTATCAAGTGTTCAGGAAAAATGAAGAATAACTGGATTAGATTTGAATAACTGCAGCTGTTGGTCTTTGTAGCCTAATGAGTAAAGCAGCTCTTAAGGCAGGTTCCTGAGGATAAATAAAGTTTGACTTGCTGACAATTATTTCTAATCAATGCTATTTATTGATAACCATAGAATGAGATGTTGCAATAAGAAGTAGCTGAAATTTAAGACACAGAAAGAAAAAAAATTACTGACAGTCTCTCTGCTGCAATTTTCCCAACAGACTTGTTATTCAATCAAACCACTAATGTCTTCTTATACTGAAAGATAGCTATGAATATTCAAATATGTGCTTTGGATAAAAGCAGCACTTCCTTCACAGGAAAGGATTTTTTTTTATCACTCTTGCCAGCCCATGCACAGCCTATTCAGTGTCTGTTTTGAAGTTGACTGGCAATTCTCGACTTTTTCATTTGTTCTGTTAATTATGTCTATCCTCATCATCAATCCATCGACTATTTCAATTGTCTTGGAGGGAGGGTATGTCTAAGTGCAGAAGAAACAAACTCCTCCAGGACAATCTGATAGAAGTGGCTCTAAGGAGTTTTGGCAATGTCATGTCTGTTCACTCTTTCATCATATCTGAACAGGTCTTGCACTGCCGTCCCCGTTTGTGTCTACCTTCAACAGTACCTTGCATGATGATTATACAGAGGGTGTTATGGCATGTGACATGGCCAAACCAAGCTATCTTCCAAAGCTTAATAGTGGCAAGGAGAGATTGTTGAACCTTAAAACTTTTGACCTTGCTCTGTACATAGTCATTGTTTTTGTGCTCTAAGAAAATGTGAAAGAGCTTTCTCAAGTGTTTTTCTGAGAACACCAGGAACATTTTTCCTGGCTCAACCAAGTGTGTCCAAGTCTCACACCCATAGAGGAGGATAGATATGACCACCAATTTTGAGAGCTTGAACCTGGTCTAGGAGCTGATGTTGCTCTTCAATTTCTACCACAAAATACATCTAAGTCAAAAATACGGCAAAAAACAAATAGCACTTAAGATTTTCTGTGAACCCATAGGATAAAAACTAGTATTCTAGTCCTAAAACCATCAAACAGAAATTAGTAAACATACTTACCTTGTCCAAGTCAACCAGGTTATGGAATTGATGGTATAGTCATTGTCTATTAATTTACCTGTAGGCACAGAAAACACCTGTTCTATATAAGCACCAGTGCCCACCTAGAAAGAAAGAAAAAAATGTTACTTTATAGTAGCCTCCAAAATAAGGCTATATCAAGTAAAATACCTTGTAAACATGACATTTGTGTATCTTAAGTTTGTCATGTTGTAAAAAAATAAAATAAAAGCACATCATGTGTCTTCAAATCTGACAAAGTTCAAAAACAAACACTCTGCTGTGAATTTTGACACTGGGCCATGGCATCTGGGTTAAACAGTATGAATTCCTTTGGGTTCAAAACATTGTGTCATCACTTTTTCTGCAAAGTATCTTACCTAAAAGCTTTCAAGTTTTGTCAAGGTGGCACCACTCAACTGATCATCTTTTGCTCTCCAGCTAGTGTTGAACTCAGATCACATCTCTTGTGTCTATCTTGTTTACATTTCCTGAAACTTTTTTGCTCATTGTGTTGAACCCAGGTCTCATCTTTTGTCTATATCTTGCTTAGCTCAAATTTGAGTTTAGAGTCAATTGTACCATTGGATTCAAATAGCATGTCTTCCTTTTTGGGTCCAAAACATTGTGCTATCACCTTTTTTTTTGGCTAAGTATCTTGCCTTAAACTTTTAGTTTTTGTCAAGGTGGCACCAACCTTTTGATCAGCTTTGTTTTTTCTTGGATTCATTGTGTTGAACGCAGATCTCATCTCTTATGTTTATTTGCATTATACATTTCCTGAAGCTCTTAGGAACCAACCACCCTTTGCTCTTTTATAGTGTCAGAATTCTAGTAATAATCAGAATCCAAAAGAATTCTTAGTTTAGTCAGATTTATAATTTTCCCTTTTTAAGCTTAACCCATTACCAGAACATAGAGAGAAACCTATGATTAATACTGGATTTTTATTTAAATTCTTATAATTGATACAACATTTAATGTCTAAATTAATATTTGAATATTTTAAAAGGAATACAAAATTTAATAATTGCAATTAAAACAGATATTTTAAAATAACCAAATAATATCAAAAAGTAAATATTTTTTTTTTGTCTATTCAAACTTTTGGACCCATTCTATTTTTTTTTATTCAAACTTTTTAGTTATGTATAATTATAGATAAACAATTTTAATAAAAAATTTATTCACTGAAACAGAAAACATATACACCTTTGCACTTAGTTTGAAATTATAAACTTAATTCAAATTACATTTTTAAAGTAATTACAATCCATTGCTGCATTTTGCACAATACTTACAAATGGTTTTGACAGACATTTTCTTAGCAAATATGAGATTCCTTTTTTCTATTCATTTTAGGACCACACAAGGTGCATTGTTTGTTCTTTTTCTCATTGGATCGTTCCTGGGCAGTGAATTGCTCACTAGAGTTTGTAGTTGTATCAATATCTATAAGACATGAATTCCTTCTGCATTTGTCCATTTTTGGATTATTTCCAAGAGATTTAGCTTCATGAAGAATATAAATGACGAAAGACTTAATTTAAAAAATCTTCTTGCAAAACATAAATGTCCAGGCTTTTGATGTAAAACATTGTAAGATGGAGTTCTTCCTTGTGACCTTTGAATTGGTTTAGAAGATCAAATTTTGGACATATCCTTTGAATAATACTTTTCATTCATCATTGAAAGGGTTTGAAGAATCATTTCTGTCAGCTTTGTCATCATTTATATCATCTGATTCTGAATAAGCAATTTTGACATTATCACTTTCATTATCATTTCTTCAGAAAAAGAAAATTCATCCCTAATTTCTTCTTCCCACTCTTCATCTAACTCAGATAACAATTGTGAAATATCTTCAAGGTTTAGCTTTTGACATTTTGTGGAACGATTACGACTCTAAGGACAAATGAATAGTTGGCAAGCCATCACTGTATATTTACATCTATATTTTGTTGAATGATATGGTAATGTTTCAACATTCCTTCAAAGATGTTGCAATACTAATTGTTTGTTTCATAAAGATGATGCAATAAAATCGGTGGTATTGCATCATCTTCATATGTCTTAGTAAGTACTATTAGAAATCTTTAACTAAGAAAAAGAGTAATTTGAAAACCCTTTGTCTGTCTATATTTCTGAGATATTATATACACTATTTACATTATTCGGACTATTGTCCTCATCTTTGTTGCCATATTATCACAACGTTTTGGCCTTTTTCAGGTGGTTGGAATGTCGAACTAAACTCTTTATTTCACTC